AAAAAGAGAAGCCTTTTTATTGATTATAACATTAAAGTATAAGAGATAACAAATTTAGGTATAATCAATGTTATCCTATAAAATTAATCATTGCACCGTTAATTAGAATGTTTATTTTAATATTAAGAAATTCGAAAATTTCCTTAAAAATTCAAATGTAATAAATGAATAAAATTATTGCATAAATAATTTTAAAACTTTATATCATTTATAAATATATCAGTTGCTTTTATTTTTTTATGTTGCCTTCAGTTGCATCATCCATGAAAAGTTACATCGGTCGTTTGCTTCCAACTATGCAAAGAAATAAAGGCAGGAATATTTTTGAAAAAAAAAAAAAAAAAGAAATTTATTTCTGCCAAAAACTAATTTAAAATTTAATTATAATCTTGAAAATTGAAATAAAATTATCAATCATTTTATAGGTGGTATGTCAGCCGATTTATCGACGACATTAAACATGGAAACATCAGAATTGGAATTAATCGAGAAAGATTTAGCATCCACTCGTTACGTTAATAATCAACAAGAAATCCTTCGTTCTTTTCATTCAACATCTCGTATCATTTATATATTCGATTATATAATCTTAATATTTAAATTGAAATCATCAAAAATAAAGTAATAATTAATTTGGTGAGAAATTTTTTTAGAAAGAAAGAAAGAAAGAAAAAAAAAAGACCATTTATTTCATTTGGTTTCATTACTTATCCTTTTTTCCTGCAGTTTTTAAGATTTTTCATTTCTTTTTCTTTTTCATTGGAAGAAATCATTTCTAATATAAATGATAATTGATATCATAAATGAATTGCATAATACGCAATTGAAGATAGTAATCAATAAGCAATTAAATTTATAATTTTGCTGATCAAATTATATATATATATATATGTGCGAAAATGAAAGATAAAGTAATTTTTATAATCATAAAACAGTTTGATTATTTTTAGGTGCTTTTAATGAAGCTAAATTACCACAACATACACCATCAGTTTCATTCAGTTTCATGGATAGTAGTGATAACATGAAGAAACATAATCATAATAAGGTATAATCTCTTATTTCGGTAATTCTTTTTTTTTCGATTTATTAGTTTATCAATAGGTGATGTGATTCATTTTATTTCGTTTTATATTAAAGAGAGAGAGAGAGAGAGAGGAGGGAGGGAAGGGAGAGAGAGAAGAAGGAGGA